GGGGGGGGGGGGGGGGGGGGCCTCTTGCAGAATCACCTGCGGGCCGCTCGGCACCCTGGCCTCTCGAGCTCGGCGGCCTGTACGCGATCCTCGGCAGCATGAGCCCGACACCTTGCAAATGCGCAGAGAAAGCGGGGCGATTCTTCGGAACTTTCCATTGCGGTCCGCTGATGTCCGCTGCACGCTGGCTGCCAGCTGTCTTGTTCACTCCTGCGAATGTTGGCACAAGCGGCTTGAGCTCTGCAGCCTCCTCAAGGGCCTGCGACAAGCTGCAAAACTCGCAATCAGCCGATGCGAGACTTCAAGGCTTTCGCAGGGTCTTCTAGGCGCAGGCACACTTTCTACGGAAGCGATAGCAAGCTGCACATAAAAAGGTGGGAATCAACGGGCGCTTGCAAGTGGCAGCTAAAGAACCCCTCGTGCTCTCTGGAAGCGCCTCGTTCAGGCGCTGCTCCAAGCTGTCGATGACGGCATCCTCTGCCAAGGCTAAACCGGGGGGGGCAACTAGGGGGCTCTCTGAACTTGAATCATCTCATCCATATCCATGCATCCCTTCATCCATGTGGCGACCAACATGCTTCCTCCCATGTACTGACGGGATTCAACAACAGCTGCCGTCATGCTTCGCCCTGTAAGGGCGGGATTTAGAGACCTGACCAGAATGAAGTACTGGCTCCGAAGTACCGGCGGAATTCAGGAGCATGGCCAACATACTTCCCCCAAGTACTGGTGGGGGAAGCAGATGGGATTCAGGAGCAACGGCCAACATGCTTCCCCAAGACAACAAACCCTCCGTCACCATGCTTCCCCCCCAATACCGGCGGGATTCTGGACCACTGCCAATATGCTTCCCCCATGTACTTGATGAATCGCCCAAGACTTGGGCGATTCACTGACATCCCCGCACAACACATGGAAGGCGATGTTGCACGATTAGAATGATTCCGCGCATGTACGCGGAATTCAGATGGGATTCAGGAGCAAGGCGAAGCTTCCCCCATGTACTGGCTTCAGAGAGACGTGAACAAAATCTTGCCTCCACGTACTATCGCGAGTCGAAAATGCAGAGGCCAACTTCAGCTCGGCACCAGACACGCAGCACTCGAAGACTCCGGTGGTTGTCATTTCGAGACCAGTTTACTGTGGATCGTGCTTACGGGAAGATGCGGACATGCCGGCGTAGCTTTGCCAAATGCACCACACGTGCAGCGCCATCAGAGGATGCGGGCATGCCCCGCGCCAGGACAGGGTTGCCACATCCGAGGACAAATCGTCCACAGAAAAGCCCTTCATCACGCTTTCCAAAACAACAGCGCATCACCCAGCCTTCACCTCCAAGATCAGGAGAGCCTTTGAACTCTGCCGCTGTGCTTCCCGCTGCCTCAGCGCAACCCAACCAAAGGCTTGTCCAGTTTTCTTCCGTCGCACGCCCTCACAACACGACTCCCGGCCCGAGACTCCACCAAGTGCACCCAGCTCACGTGCGAAGCTCCGGGCTCCCGACACATGGAGCTCAAGTGCCAGCTTTCGGCTCTCGCTGTCCATTCACCAAGACAGCGCTCGGCAAAAGCTGGCAAAGCTGGAGGATGCTTAAACATGTGATGCCGAAGGACCAAAGAAGAGCTTGGCCTCCTAGAACTCTTAAGCTTCCCAGTCTCGCCCTAAGCCCCAAGCCCAAGCTGCATATGAAGCACCAATTCCTGCATCTACAGGTCGTGCCGTTTTTTCGCAGACGTCCATCTTGCAGGACCTGGGCCTGAAACATACACAATGCCATGGTCTGCGAATGAGAAGTACTCCAAAGACTTGGGTGCCGTTACCTGAGACCGCGAAGATGCTCCTTTTCTGGCCTGATGCCCGAGCACATCCCGCACCCTCGGCATTTTGCCCCAAGCACGCCATGGCTGACCAACTCCGCATTCCGGACGATGAGCTTGACAGGATCATGGGGCACATTCGCTTGGAAGTTCGGATCACCCAGAATGTGGAGAAAAGAAAAAGTCTTTGGCTCATGGCAGTTGGCTCAGAAACGAGGCTTCCCGCCGCAGCTCCTTCAAGCCCCGCTTTGGCCTCTTCACAGAAAGCCGTGGACAAGCAGCGGCAAATAATTGAGCAGTTTGCGGCACCGAGTGCTCGTGAGCCCTTTCAAGGAATGCTGCACAGGAGCAGTGCTACTTTACGCTTGCCAGGGCCACCGTGCTCACGAGAACCCGCAGGAAAAGCATCGGCTAATGAAAGCAAGAGAGCTGCACATCAGGCACCACCCTCACCCCTTGGCTACGAAGATGGGCCTGTCAATTCAAACATCGAGGGACCCGTTTGGGCTCGACTTGGCTCTGCACCAGCTGGCACAGTCCAGAATCGATCTCCCATTCTCATTCTAGACTCGTGCTGCTTCCGAACCTGCGGCGGAGCGGGGGCGTGTTTTGATGCATTTTGAGTTATCATCAGCCCAAACTGGCATCTAGAGCCTCACGTAAAGACTGGACCAAGCAAACCAACCACCGCTGACGGTGCCAAGTCCTGCGGATCGGATGGGCGTGTCTTCCTCTTGAGACTAAACTTCGAACCAGCAACAAAATGACGGGCCCGACTAAGATTCATCTGCTGTCTGAGTCTACGTGTTGGCAAGCATGAGCTGGCATGTCCTCTTTGGCCAGGAAGTCCAGCGGAAAATGGACCTGGGACGGCACTGCTGTCAGAAACTAGATGTTGCAGGGATCGGACGATGCTGCTGCATGAAGCAATGAAGCCTGCTTCTTGGCTCAGCAAGCAAGCACAGCGTTGCCCGCCCCACCCCCAACTCCCGTCCCGCAGAAATGCCCGCAGTCTGGGTACTGCGCCAGGTATCCCTGGACTCGCTTTAGTGCTTCTGTAGCACTCTCCGCTTCGGGTATCCTCAGGGACTGCCGGTCAAAATAGCACCGACTGCCACGACACACAGCGATTCTTGCTTGTTGTGGTCAGGGTTGCATCCGGGGCTAGGCAAAAGCCTCACGGGAAAAAAGCCAGTGTAGCCTCCGGCCTGGTGAAGTCCGCATTCATGTGCGGCTGCGCCTGTGCAAGGCGTGCTCATACTTACACTTGTCGCAGTGTCCGTGCACTTCCGCACGTGTCCGCACGTGTCCGTGCCTGCCGGCGCCGGGCTGCAAGCTCCGCCCAGGTGCCCACAGCATCGGAGGGCAGCGCCCCGAAGAGCTCCTGGCAAGGCAGCACAGCGCGAGAATGCGCGAGAGAAAGCGAAAGGTTCTGTTCCGCCCGTCCTCGTAGATCTCTGTGTTCTGCTGGGCAACTCTTCGCATCTCCATCACGCATGCCTTGCACTGTGGCGAGCACACTCCACTCTGAGATTCCAAGAACACATGGCCTCGCTGGCAGGATCCGGGTAGACCTGAGTTTAAACACGGAGTCCCAGAGCAGGAAATCAAAACGCCCCTGCTGTCCAAAACCGCCTGCTGAACCGTGGGTGGGAAGGGCTGGCAAGGCGTCGCACGTCGAATGGATTTTTGGTCCTACAGTCCTACTCGTCACTCGTCCGACTGAAACAGAACACAGGCCATCTTATCCGGGACCATCGCAGATTCCAGCTGCTCCCGTGTCAAGCCCATGTGCTGTGCGAATAGTGCCTGCACAGGGGAGTCGTTAGATCTTGTTTCTGGCAAGCCTCTCATGCTCCTCCAACAACTCAACGTGGCACTTCCCTCCACGCGCTTTCCGGAGGTTTGCGGCAGGGCCGCCGCGCAAGCCGCCGGGGCCTCTCCACTTGATTTCTTAGCTCACTCGTCTCACGACTACCATCAAACAAGTTGATGCTTCCCCTCGATTTTGATGATGCTGCTGCACCCCTATGCTGGGGCTTGACATTTGCAATCTTTCTGTCTACACATCATCCAGGACAAGGCGTTTACACACATGCGGTACCCTACTCGCATGTTGTCGCTTCCCCCTCCCCCCAGCCCTCAAAAGCTGAGGCGCGGCTCTCGGACTTGACTTTGACTCTAGAGCCCTGAACACTCACGGCTGCCACAACCTTCATAATCCTTACATCAACCTTTATCCAGGAATCTCTTCAATCGCATGTACCCGAGATGACACGAGCAGCTCATCGGCAGGATCAATAGCACACGGTGTTCCACGTGCCTCATGTCCGAATGTAGATGCAACTGGACTGCTTGTCCCTCGTGCAAAACCGTAAGTGGACCACAAACATCTAAATCCCCGGTTGTGTCACTCAGCTTCTTCTGGCCAAGCCTCTGTAGGCTGCCGCAGTGTCCTGCACAGGAATATCTGAGCTTTGTCGGCATTGTTTCGTGTCTCAAGCAATGCAGGACAAGCCTTCTGAAGGAACAAGGGCCGGGTGGGATGTTGCGGGATGTGAGGCATTTGGCTCAGAATGGGTTGATTGGTTCCTGGACGACGACGTTGACCTCAGAGTCTCGCATCCCAAGCAAGGAGCGATCGTTGATGTTGGAGCTGCCGATAATCGCCACCTGTGGCTCAAAGTGAAGGCGTCCGCTGCACTCCTTCTGCAAGTCCCTGCGGCATGCACCTCGTCGTCAACCACCATGGCCTCGAGACTTCGGTACTCATAGCCACACTGCTCAAGCATGCTCAAGCCATCTCGCTGCCTTGGAGTGGATGTAGATCTGCTCCGTAGCATGGCCGAGACCATCCAGCCATCCGTGCGTCCTGCTCTCAACATGTTCGAGAATGTGCGCCAGTCCGACAAAACTGCTTCTTGACAGTGAAGATCCACCTGAGACCGAACACGGAGATATACTTCGCCTCATCCACCCCTGGCCAGGCTGCGCATGTCTCAAAATCACCGTGCAAGCATCCCACGACAGCCTCGAGCACGAAGCTCCTTGCGAAGACCGCGCAGCGTCTGGTACTGCGCATGCATCACCTAGCCATGCAAAAAAGTCAGGCGAAAACATGTGGCCAGCTGTCATACTCCGTGATCTATGTCATGTCCAGAGTGTTCGCCACGTTGCCATGTTCTGCAAGCCCACATCAGCAGTGCGCTTGCTGGCAAGAGCTTCTATGCTGAGCTTCGTGCACGGAACACGGGCTGTGAGGCGTTGGACTGGCACAGCGGGGCCTGCACGCAGGTCGCGTGTAATTGCTTCTTCGGCCGCAGCAGTAAGCGAAGACTCGAAACATCAGCGCCGGGAGACCTCTAGTGCCGGCAACAGGGGCAGGATGATGACACAGTGAAAAGCCTCTTTGTGGTCTTCAGCCTTTACCTCAGCTCGACCCCTGCTCTGCTGTCTCCGGACCCATGGCAGCAAGCCCAGCGCACGCTTAGGTCTCTGCGATCCGTCGAAACAAGGCCTCTCACATGTCATGCATGGTTTTGACCGACACGTAGACGTACACTGCCCACTAATAAAAAATGTGAACAGGCACTTCTCATGGATCTCCCAGGCAAACGCTAGCTGACAGAATTCACAGCGCACGACACACCCTAAAACATTTCAGAGCGTATCGCAAGGCAGAAAATACAATGCCAGGACTCCTAGTGCTCAAAGATGAGGGTTTTAGAACCTTCTGACCCTTTCACTTCTGCATTTGGCCTTCTGGGTTGTTGGGGTTAGGTTTGTTCTTGTGACTGGTATTACTTTTCAAACTATACTGAAGGGGAACTTATTGGCTTTTCCCGGTGTGACAAGAAACAGCGAGCACCGGAGAACCCCTCAATTCAAAAGCAAAGGGTGTTTTCCCCATGACAAACGGAATTCTCCAAACAGATGCCTCGAGCACACGGTTGCCGATAGAATCCTCGCCCTCCATTGCAGAGCAGAAAAACCTGAGTCTCTCAGAAGCTCATGCGCTGCACCCAAGCAGAACTTGATAAACACTCGGCACCGTCTAGTGTACTTCAGGATTTCGTTTCCTCGCAACAAAGTGGCTGATTCTCAATGTAGATGAAGCTCTTGGACTCCTGTCACACTCGCAGATTTCACTTGGATGGGCCACAATGTCTCAAAGGCACGTCATCCTGGATCAGGTCGCAATACGCCTGAAGCGAAGAGTTTTCTCTGCACTCGGCACCGCACTTGCTTGACGAAGTAACAAGAGCAGCAGCACCAGCAGCACCACCACCAGCACCACCGCCACCGCCGCCCCGGCCGCCTCCTCCACGACCAATACCATCTCCTCTGGCTCCAGCAATCTCCAGCATCACGTAGGCTAAGCCCATCTAAGCCCCTGCCACCCCTCCACAGCCAGCCCAGCCAGGAATATCAGCATTCCGCATCCCGGCAGCCGATCGAGAAAGCAGCAAGCGGCAGCAGAACGAGCACAACTTTTCACTGCAAATGCACGTGCTTTGACAACCGACAGGGAAAGCATGTGCTAAAATGCACGAGGAGATCGAGATGCGCCTGATGCGAGGAGGACTCGGTTTTGGTGCCGGCACTCCAACGTCCAACCGAACGCACCACCTGGCGAGCGTACGTAACTTGGCGTAACGGTCCTCACCTCACCGCAAAACTTTCACACTTTAAGCACAGCAAAACACCTGGCCTGCGATCGGCATTCCTGGCGGGGAACTCTGTTCTGGCCCATGGCCTCAATCTGAGCTTGTGAGCCTGCCTGCCAGGGCCCCCTCTCTGGCGGCCATGTCGGATCGGCTGCCTCCGCTCATGTAAGTGACGTCACAACCTCCTTCCAGGCCCCAAAACTCCAGCAGCAGGTTTCCAAGTCCACTTTCAAGCGCAGTTAACGGAATCTAACCTGCCAAGTCCAGGAGCACCAATGCCATCACCATGAATGGCCTTGTGCGGGACCTTCAGCATGTCATCGTTGCTCACGGCGACCTGCTGAATGCAGTTAACCGCCTTCCGGCATCAATGCCAACAAACACATACATACAACAATTCAAGTCCGAGTAAACAAGTACCTTGTCAAGCTAAAAAGGAAATCCAAACTGCTCGCGGAGCTTTGGGCTCTTATGGGCTCTTCGGCTCCCGCCTTGCGCTTGAGCAGCGCTGTGGGCAGCTCGTGGTACATCCTCAGCTGCAAACAAATGCCTTTAAGGTGAGCTGGCCCTGAGCCGCGCAATCATCTTTAAAAGCGGCATCTCTTCCATCCAACTCCACCGAACATCGTGTCTCCAGCAACCCAACAAAGCTGACTGCAAGCTCGCAAATATAACCTCGCTCTGCCGGACTATTGCAGACGAAGCGCGAGTTGATGCACCTGCTAGAACTGTGCGCAAAGGATACATTGAAAACATGATCGCGGAAACCGGCTATGAAAACAGGGTCTACTGACGACGTCTGCACGGTAGCTGCAAGCCAACGGAGGAACACTGTGTCACTATGCAAAGTGAAGTCACGACGACAGCTCACAAGTACTGCACTGTCTATGCCTATGCGACGGAATGAACCGGCCTGGCATGGTTCCAGCGCTCCACGCAGTGACGTGCAACATCACGCCTGACGCGGTCCAAGAAGCTTCGGACACCGCGACAGGCCACAAGCTCTGACTTGCATGTACCCTCCCATCCCTTCCAAGGATGCGTCGCCGGCCGGCCGATAAGCTCACAGGCGACATCCTGCCATCGTGAGAAATGGCTAAGGGGGCTGGTCCCGACCCTGCTCAGACAGCTCAGTCGCCAAGCTGGACACTGGCTGCTGTGCCTGCCAGGGTAGCCGTGCCTGCCGCCTCCGATCTAACTGATCCTTTTGGAGTCGGCCATCGGTGACATCCTGACGGGACCCCGACCATCTCAGACCGTACCTCTTCCCACTAAACAACTGGCAGAGCGACTCCTTGATGCGAGGGTTGTAGTAGTCCTGATTCTTCCAAACCTCCTCTTCCGCATCAAAGATGAGATGCCTCCAATCCTCGGCAATTCTCTTCCAGGCCGAACACACAACAGCATGCCGCATGCCCCTGCACGATGCCTTAATCGCCCTAACATCACTGAGAAAAAGTCAGATGACTTTCCCCCTCTCCAGTAGCATGACAATCCGCAGCTCAGGCTGAAATACATCCGGGCAGAGGACCCAGTAACTGCCACATTGCCGATGGTTTTTCCACACGAAATGTTTCTCACAGCCCGAGGGAAACGCAGGTAATCAGGAGACTGACTTTTGTTTCTCCACTTTTCTCCCTTCAGAGTTGGCACTCGGGATTTCCTTTAGGGCAACCGATGCGGGTCATCAGCCCCCCAAAAGGCCCGCTTTCAATTACCCAAACAGCACACGTGAAAGCGCAGACTGAGGACGCATCATCGTAGCGCCCAATGCACAGATCGAGTCCTGCGTACAGTGGCACAAGGCTTTGGGCGCTCGCCCAAACTGACGTTCGAAATACAAGTGTCTGAAAGGAGGGCAGGAATGAAGGTCTATGAAGCTGACTTCGGAAAACTGATGTCGGGCTGTGGTCTCAATCGGTTCCTGCAAAGGGCGAGTTGGAAACGGGCTCAGGGTTAATAACAACACGTACGTGTGCAGACTGTTCCCACACCATGTAAAAGATCCAAAACATGCCAAACTTGAGACCCAGTTTCGGGCAGAAACTGGGTTCGGGCCAAGGGCTTGCTCGGAGCCCGCGGGCTGAGGTTTCTTCTTCCGATCTTCAAACCTGGGTTTTTGCCTTCTCAAGAACAAAATATGCCAAAATTGAAGCCCAAATTGGGGTAAAAAATGAATTGTAAGCCGGCATCAGCCAAAAACGGAATCTGAAATTTAATAACCGGCAGAGAGGAAGGCAGCCACGGCGTCGCCGGGGATCAAGCACGGATCCTTGAGCGAGAAGCAACAACCGAAAGTCAAGGATCGAAGAGATGATCTTCAAAAATCGATTTGGTCAAGGAACGGCAAAAGCGAGCCTTCCATGCGAAGCTCCAAGCTGGAGGTGAAACCAAGCAAGCCAGGATGAGTGTAAATTCATCCATAATTTATCCGCTCACGTGTTAAACGATCCCGCTTCAATACGGTACGGGCTTCATGCCGTTGTTGTGCAACTGCAGAATGATTTCCACCAGGGCATTTGATGGATTTGTCGTTCCGCAAACAATACCGATATCAGGGCAAAAAGTTGGCTGAAAGCCAAAACATGCCGACCTTGAAACCCGTCTTCGGTCTAAAGGCTTATTTGGAACCAACAAAAGGACTGCCAACTTGAACCCTTGTTCAGAGCCGGGACATGTTCAAACTTGGAGCCTTGGGGAGTGCCCAAACATGCCAAATGTGAAACCCGGATTGGGGCTAAAGGTTGGTTCGAAGCCCCAAAATGCAAATTGAAATCCATTCTCGGGGACGGCTTTGCTGAAAGCTGTAGAAGTGCCAAAGGTTGAAACGCAGATTCCCGACAACAACACTCTGAGAGCCCAAACAGGCCAAGTTGGGAACCCCCATTCGGGCCAGAACCTGTTCAGAGCCAAGACCTGCCAAACGCGAAACCCAGATTCGGGCGTATGATTTGTTTCAACCAAGACTTGACAAAATTCGGGCCCAAGAGGTTTGTTCACGGTCCCAACATGCCAAAAAAATGAATCCCAAAAACTTGCTGAGAGCGCAAACATGCCAAACATGCGAGATCCAGATCTAGCGTTCAGATTGGTTGGTTCAGAGGCAAGCTAAGAGCTGAAATGCGTTAGACCTGAAGGCCAGATTCGGGCCAAAGGCTTGTTCAAAGCCCAAGCATTGTCCAAACTTGGAAGGAAGTTTTTCGGGCCGAAGCTTGAGCTTTGCTTAAAGCCTAAAGCCATAACAAGCCAAACTTGAAACCCAGCTTCGGGAGCCCTGGAGCGAAAAAAGGCAATGGTTTTGAAAGTCTACAAGTAGCGTTTGAGAGTGACGCTCTGACACACTGCGCTTCGAAGCTTCGGGCTTCAAAAGCGAGCTTTCTGAATTACCCCTCATGGTCCTCCAACGATGGCAAGCTGCTGGTCAACGACCACAACCTCAATATTTTCTCTCGTCTCATGTCACAAATGACTCCATCGTGGCGATTGCAAGACGGATTCCGAACAAATTGGGGAGAGTGACCTTGAGTGGATCAATCCGTGCAATCACACAAGCACACTCACCCACACACTCACCGAGAGAGCACTCTTTGCTCTGTCATCTGCGGCGCCTTCTCGTGGTGTGTCCACAGCAGGTTGCTGTCAAATCTGCTCCTGGCAGAATCAACACTTTCACGACTTGGCCATGCCTTGGCCAGACATAACTGATGCCTCCCACGGTGCAACTTCTTAGGCTGGAAATAGCACACTTGCCAACACGAAGTGGCGTACACAAAGCAACATATGCGCAGCCTGTGGCGCATGACGAATATGTTCTTGTGCTGGAGCTGGTTCTCTGCCTCACCACCAGTGAGCTTTCTTCTCTCGCATGTTCGCATGGCTGCTTTACGAAGGTCGGCTAGAAGTTGAAGATCTCATGCTTGTAGAACTTGTAGGCACAAACACATCCGGCAGTGCAGCCAAGTCCCCGCGTCACTTCTGAAATGCGAAAGCAGAAAACTGAATATGTTGCTGGGGTCACATGGCCAGTTCTCACTGGAACCCCTACTCACTTTGTAGATGGTAAGGCGAACGCATATGCTGAAGCGTTGGCAATGACCTTCCCGGTCTCCTGGTACCTCAAGCTTGCTTCTCTAGATGGCTTGAGAATCTGCGTCTGGGGTATCACATCCATAAGAAGCGATGATGCCGATTTTTGTCATGCTTGGGCCGCCGACAGCAACACGTAGACCCGAACTCCGCGATCTGCTGCAGCTTTCAACAGTGTTTCGACCTGTGATTTGGAAGATCCAACTGCAGATCCTCATCAACTCAAAGACACAAAGCAACGACCCCGGTGCGAGCCTTCGAATCAGGAACGCCCGGCAGTGCATCACCTGGGAATCGTGAGACTGTCTGGAAGAAGCCGAGTTGCCTTGTGGAGATTGTTGTCTGAGAAGCACACCATCCCGAACCAACTCAATGTGCGGACTCAAGAAGAAGCTGAGGATGAATATCTCGTGCTTGGCAAGGAGAATCGCCTGCGAGCTCAAAGGGCTCATGAGCCTTCTTGGCGTTTTGAACAGCAAGCAGCCTTAAAGCTTTGAGCCTCTGCAACAGCACGGAAGATCGCGCGCCCGTTGAGCAGGTGTCGGCAGAGGCTCCGGCGGAGCACGTGACGGTCGCCGGTCTGGGAGGCTCATGGTGCACAATATATCTCACTCAATCAACCCTGCTTACGCACCCTTCTCTCCTGCAAACTCTGGAAACCCGAGCAGGCACGACTTCCGAACGGCTTGCGGGGGCTCAACTCCCCCTTGGGCCTTCGGTGCACTGGGGAGCCGTATCGGTGCGAAAGAGCCATAGCGCCTAGGTTGAGTTGTGCTCAGGCAGCGTGGAGATCAAAATCCGATTGCATGCAGCAAGGCCGGAACTGCTCTCTGGTTCGCGTGGACAGCTGTGCCGTCACCTCACATGTTAGCATGTCTGCGGCAGCTTGAAACCGCAACTGTCGCAGTCAATGCTCAGACGACGGCTGTGATGGCATTGCACCATCCTTGAGCGCTGCTATGCCTGCGACAGACAGCTCAGACCCTCATACCACGGAATGTACTTACTTATTATTGTGGCGTCACGCACAGAATAAGTTGAGTGGCGTAGTTGGTTTTTGGTTTGCTAAGATGCTTGCATGAACCTGCCGACGAAAAGGTTGCTGCCGGAAGCCAACCTATGGAATTAAGCTACACCGAACCAAGTCTAAGACAGGAAGAGCTCCGAGACGTCACAAAAGCAACAGGCCTGCGTGGCCCATCCCCAAAGGACAGCTCGAGGACCCACGATGCCCCTTTCACAAGCACGTGGTCCTGCATGTGCCAGTGTCAGGAGTTCAGGTCACTATGTGATGTCTGTCGAGTCGCAGGTGAGGATGCTGCGATGAGGAGTTATAGGGACGCAAGAATACACCAGCGGTAGATCCCGCATAGTGATAATTATAGCAGTCGAAGCTCTACACACACACACACACACAGAGACACACACGCACGCACACATAGCAGAACCATCAAGAACCATTCTACGAGCATTTCTTGGGTTCCCCGAGTGTACTCAGGCGGCGCGATTGGAAATTCAAAACACGCACCACAGGAACACGAGTCCCTACCACAAAATGTGCGGTGCTGCGGCGGGAGCACGATTTCTAAAGCGGGGAGCAGGATGCCGGGAGGACAGGACCGTGGCAGGTAACGCACGCAGCACTAGCCGAGAGCTGGCAGCCCGCGGCGGCCTCTTGTCCCGAAACAGTTCGTTTCATCTGCGGCCTCCTGTGGCCGGCTTGATGCCTTCAGGCAGGTCAATATGGGGTGCGGGCTGGCAGCCCGCAGAGCCCTCATGTATATCCACCGCACTACACCGGGAGATGAGGGACCATCGGGCCACTGCCGAGCACGCCTCTGGTTCACTTTTCTTGCTTAACTCTTGCATACTCTTCCGGTAACGTATGAGCCCCCACAGTGTGACCATAGTTTGGTCCGAATAGCGAATTACAGTTTCTAGAGAGCCTCAGCAGGCTGCCATCTCCGCCAACTTGAGTAAGTGGCTGATCCGGTCCGAACATGCCAATGACGCGTCTGCAGCTGCGGACTTGCCAGAATAGTGTAAGACCCTTGAAACCGCGTCAGTCACGATATATGGAACATATTACAAGCCCACAGCCCGCAGCTGCGCAGGGCTAGCACTCATATCCAACCTGGCTCCTCAACACAAGGACATAAAAATGCTGCAGTGTATGAACCCACATGATGACAAGGAACACAAAAACACTGGTGCGGACATGTACAGACAGGCATCTCTCTCCTCCTCATCTCGAAACAAAGCCTCGGCCGTCACGGAGCGAGTTCGCTAACCGGCCAAATCTCCATGACGCAATCATCCAGATCCTTCAAACCACAGGGATCTGAGGCTTGCCTAGTGGTTGAGGAGCATCCACACCAAACAGCGCGAAACAAGAACCGGGGAGGACATTCTGAACTCTCGGAATCTGAGGATTCTGAAAACCCTTCTCCGAAGGCTGCTCTGAGGCCTCGCGAAGCACACTACCGTGCCACTATGGTCGCTGCAAGTTCTCTGGGCTCAAGGCGAAGCTTGTGTCAAAGAAAAGCATGTCCGTGGGATCCGTGTCCTGGTGCTGTGCTGCAACACAGCGGAGACATCCAAAGTGGACTGATGGCAAATGGACTACAGTACAGCCTTGATCTCTGCAGCATGGAAACACCTGAAAAGTCCAATTGCAAGAGGTGTCCATGAGCGAGGAGAAAAGGGCGATCCCATCTTTGCGCAAGACGAGCCAGCGCTCCTAGAGACAGAACAGCCAGCTCCATGGAAGCTAGGACTGCACAGCGGCATAGCCGCATAGCGTGACGTGGCAACCACTGTCCTGGAGCCCTCTTCTCCGTGCAAGCTCGAGGCGGAAATCGCAACGAAGACCTCGTTTGGTGCACTTGCACTCAATGCATACATGCAGACACACGCAGCACGCAAATGCTGCAGACGGCTTTCAGGTGCTGAAGCTTGCACAAAACAACGAGCAGCGCTGTCGACGCCGGTTCATGAAGTAGTCCTGCATTGGTCGCTGCAGTTCCGAACCGGAAATTCGAGAATTTGAGAACGGCTTCTGCTACTCCGGTACGACACAGCTGGAGCAACTTCGTGAGACCATATCATTCAACGGCGCATGAACCCTCTTCACCACAGATTCTTCAAACTCCTCGGTTGTCTCGTGCCTTCGGACGAAGCAGCGCCCCTCCTGGGTCTAGCTGCCAACTACTCGATGGTTGAAGCTGAATGAACATCCTAGCTCTCTCAGTTTAGCTTCCATGATAGTCCATGCTCCCCCCTAAAACGGAGTCAGCACCTTGTGCGTCTCAGAGGAGTTGAAGTAAGTTGCCATGCCTTGCAAAAGAAGACTGCTCACAGTGTGAGGCCTCCTTCGCAACATCCAAATGGCCGAGCTGCCCAAAGACAGGAAGTTGCAGATGTCCAGATTACGCAGGCAGTCTTTACCTCAGTGCAGCAAGGCATACAACTTTCTGAGCGCCAAGTTCCGGGCAGTCAAGCTCCGGGTCACACAGTCTCCCGAGGGCCACAAGATCTGGGAACCCAGCTGCGGAGCAAGAGCGCAAGCTGCTCCCGCACCTTCTCTGTCTCTGCCTGGCCACCCCGTCGAAAGGCCAAAAGAGGGAAAGATCGGTGCAAGGAGGTGCCTTGCGCTCGAGGTTCAGGATGGCCTGCAGGTGGGGGCTCACACCGAAAGCTCGGAGGCCTCTCGATCACTTCATTGTGCCTTCGCTGGGATGAAAGAAACCTCTGTCAATCCAGCCATCCTTGGATTGGAAGACATCTCATTTCGTAGCTGAAAGCCACTCGCTAGACCCTGTACCAAGCCAGGCAGCAGCAGTGCTCCGAAGATCCCGATCGCGAACGAGAGGAGCAGGGCGATCAGCGGCTCCAGCACGGAGAGCCTTCCAAACGCAACTTCTGCTGTCAACCCTTGGGCGGCTTCGGTGCCCCATCCAGGGACCAAGGACCAAGGCAAGGACAGGTCAGGAGCATCTGTCACCAAGGACACAAGCACAAGCGACTCGCGTACCTGCAGATGGACTCCAAAGCATGCACAGCCTTTATCTAGTGCTGTACCTTCCTTCTGACTCACCTTCCCATGCCAAGATCACAGAAAAGCAAGCTGCACGGTGTCTTGCAAAGGCAGGGGTGGCGCACGGAAGGCCTGGCAATGGCAATGTGCAGGCTCGTGCACGTGAAATGCGAAGCAAAACACACATGTTCCTTGGAAATGCAATCAGCATCCAAAAGTGACACCTGCTTCAAGAAACGTCCGGGCTTGCTCAATCCCTGATAGCTGCCGTACTCTTGCGATGCGATATCGAGCTCATGTAACTTGTTTGTCGTACAACTGGACTGGATGAAGGGTTCAATTGTCCTTGTCCTCCGGACACCTACTACACATTATGCCTTTCAGCATCACCCAGGTCCTGTTCACACTGTCGCACAACGCACAGCAAGGCTTGTTGCCATCTCGGCTTGAGCCCTTCTTCTCTGCGCTCTTGATACACATGAGTACTAGGCAGGATGACATGTGTTGGTTCACTAGTTAAGAGTCTAGTTGCATCAAGTCGGGACGCCTCAGAGGTTGGGCGAGCAGCCAGGACGCCCACAGCAGGAAAGCCCAGAACAGGAAGGTTCTGACCTTGAAGCAGCCATGTTGAAGGGAACTGCTCGGTCCACGGGACGATCAAGTCTGTCTTGTAGTACGATAGACATGCAGGTCCATGGATACGACGCTACAATGCCGCTACAAGAAGAGTCCTGCAATTGACTATAAGCATCGGTCTTGAAGCTTTCGGCAGCCCAGCAACACAGGGATACACTGAGAAGCTAGGTCCTGCACAGCACAGCTGGCAACACTTACCTGCCAGGGCGACAGCGCCGCGACGGTTGGCCATCATCGCGACGCAAATTTCCGTCTGTCTATATGCACTTATGCGCATCAGTTCCCACATGTTCCATTCCGCTCCCGTCCGACAAACAGGGCAAAAGCCAAGCGGCCACAGCCCAGAAGGGGTCGGCACCGGAAGCGATCGCCTGGTCGGGTGACGGCTCGATGCCCACAAATTTGAGTTCGTCGACGTGATTGAGCTGTCGGTGTTGGTCGACTTGGTGGCGATCGCCGTGGCGGTGGTGCACATTTTCATGGCGGCAGTAGGGGCGGCAGCTGGCGACGATACTGGTGGCTGATGACGAACACCAGGATGACTATGACGAGAGATGGTGAGGGAGATGGGGAGCAGTATGAGGATCGAATCCAACAATGGTGATGATGAGGATGGCGACGATAGTCATGATGATGATGATAGCAGATAGCATAGTCGTAGCAGAGACAATAACATTGCTAATGGTACTAGATAGTACAAGCATAAAACGGAGCCACATCAGTTCCGTAAGCAGTGGCACCATCGATATTGTCACCGTCACCACTTATCCCGCAGCGTCATCATCATCATCGTCATCTCAACGAATCATCAAATCAGCAACATCGTCCTCTTCATGCAATGTGCACCCTCCCAGTCATCCTGAGAATCGTCAGCACAAAAGCCTTGTCAGCTGAGCATCCACCTTAAAAAACAATCGTCATCCACATGTCGCGTACCGGAGGCCACCTCCACCCCTCGCGGGCCCTCGCAGTGCCTCTCTGTTCGTTCGGCACCAGCGAGTGGCTGAAGCGGCTCTCGTCCTCATGGACGGATCGCGCTGCAAGGATTGCATCTTAAAAGTGGGGACTCTTTTTCTTGATTATGAGAGGTAAAACAAGCCCTAAACCCACCGAAGACGAGTGCGAGTTGCCGCTAGAAGACCTTCTTGCTCAACAGACAGATGGACAGCTCCTCACCACGATTCGCACTAACTCGTCGAGCCTTGGAGATGATGCAAAGCTTCTCAGCAGCAATCTGTTGCAATTCAAAGTTCTGCGCAGGTGCGATGTTGCGTGCCACGCAGGTCAATCAACAATCGTCACGAATTCCTGTGACTGGAAATCCGAGACCAGTGCGTGAATGGCTCTGTGCTCCAAGCATGGATTCCATCCTGCTGCACCAGGCGACAAACACGGGAAAGATCCAGTTGCACACTCTCAGAGCAACCTCGATCAGCTTTCATTTCGTGTCTACCGCAGGCCTCACACTGCAGCTTCAAGCGCGCCCTGACGGCAGAAACATCAGGGCCCAGATGCCAACGCAGGGTTTGCCGACACTCTGTGCCGAACTACCTGCGACGACGGGCGGCCCTGTCGCGCCTGTAATTGGAGCCATTCGTCCGCTGATGGAGATCTTCACCAAGGGACACAATTGGCTCGACGGACACGAGTTCTGGGCCTGTACAACTAAGCGCCAATGCTTCAAAATCTTGACTGACTGAAGATGCGAAAACCCAACCAACAATGCTTGCTCGACTTATAGCACATGACCCATGCACCAGGAACAAAGATGCCACCTCCAGCAGTGGAAGCAAGGTCACCTGTCTTCTGCAAGCGACTTGTCCAGTCCTGCAGCAACACATTGAACCAGATCGGTGCAAGGCTGGTAACAACCCCGAGCGCAGCGAAACTTGGCTGCCTTAATCTCTGCCCGCAGTCGAGTGCGCTGCTTTTCCTGCCACGTTTCGTGTGTGATACGACAAGTCAGCACTTTAATACCGTTTCCATGGGGCAGCCATGCAACTGATCACTACGTGGCTCAACAAGACGGTGCAGAGGGTACCCATTGGCTGAGAAAGGCGGTGGCACGACCAGAATGTTCAGAACTGTGCCTGGCACAGTGGCGAGGTTCGGCTGGAAACATGCGTGTCCGTGTTGTTCCACCCCGGCAGCAATCGTCAAGCCCCATTCCAGATCGAAGGTCCTGAAACCCAACCGAGCACGGCCTGAACCTCGGACTTCTAGGGCTGTCTGCCGAGGCTGACGTGGACACTGTCGTCGAAACCTTATCGTTGAATTTTCACTGTCGCAACCAAACGTGGACAAATGCCAAGTGTCCACCGAAGGTATATATTACAGTTGCTACAATTGAATGCACCTGTTCTGAATAGCTTAGGTTGACTGCCAGACACACAGTCTGTGTGAGGCAGTCCAGTGCCCAATGCTGCACAAGATTCCTCGATGTTTCCACAATATCGGTAGCCCAGATTGACACCCGGGAATGCCAACAGACAAGTCGCTCGGCTGCCGAGGGTGGAGCTCCTGGAACTGCTTCCATCCATCCGCCACTAGCACACAAGAGTCACAGCAGCTGCTAGCATAGTAGCCACTCCGTGCACGACACAGCATGAAACAAAGATCCCGGAACCCGAATCACTTGTTGAGGAAGCTCGCACATGCGGTGGACTCCTTCGCCGACCATCAGTGGACTTCACGCCACTCCTTCCAAATTGGATATAAACACTAAATCACGCACTTCAGCACCACCCCAACCAGCTGCTACCATCCACAACTGCCCAAGGTGACCGACGAACAAGATGACCACCTAAAGCTCCTGAATTTGTCGAAAACACTTCGAACTTGTTCGGGCGGCGGTGACATGGCATCGCCCGAAACTGCATGGAACATGCATCAAACCCAAACACAGAATCTAGCTAAGAGAACTGTGCGTTTACCTTTGCCGAGCATGGTCTCGAGAAAACATGCCGTGGCCAAATGCCAATCCGAAAAACACGTGGACATGGTTTTGGCGCACCATGCACACACTTCTGGAACTAAGCTCATCAAAGTGGTTCGAGAACAGAAAATGAGCAGCGAAAGTGACAGACAGCTAAAATGCCTGCAACATCCGCTCCAAGCAGAAGCTGATGGAAATAACAACATGCTTCCCAGCGATTCGTATCAAGCAATGCTGAAAGTCATGCGAAGTCACACAGCCAAGCCGACGCAGCTCACAAACATTGCCGCCCCAGTAAAACCGTTTTTTCTCAGACCCAAGGCACATGACAAAGTCACATGTCTGATCAACGGCGGAAATGAAATCTTCTACCAATAGTTTGCGATATGTGCACAGCACACAAGGCAATTAGCTGGACAAGCGCGGGCACTCCCTCTTGGAAGGCTACGGGCAACGGGTTTACATGACAAGAAAATGGAAACGCGACAAAGCGCGCTTCTTAGCAAATCGTTTACCTTTTTCCGCCTTGAGCCAAACGCGTTGGGTTAAAGACGGCAAGGAAGTCCACAAACTACCGACTATCCCTGATCTCGTCTCCTCTTCTGAGAGAAACCAAACGGAACGAAACTTGCTACATGCATTCTGGCTTCCAGGATGCCTTTAAACAGGTACAGAAACAATAACACAGGAAGTAAGCCCCTGGCGTGTTTTTTAGAAGGCCCAAAACACGGCAATATCCTTGAAGACGGTCTTTTCGCGCGAAATTTTACGATTTCTAGGTGTTTCGTCAGGCCAAGCGCGACAAAAGTTCTCAAAAACGTTCTATTCGACTTCCAAGATTTTTCACAAAGTCGAGTTCTTCTGGATTCGTTTTGCCGCGAAAGATGCTCTTTTTCAGCAAGGTTGTAGTTCGATTTTGCAAGGTCGAAATAAAATCCGATCTATTTTACCGCAAAAGCCCAAAATGCTGAGGAACGTTCTCAGTTTTTCCTGGATTCAACTTCAGGTTCAATAACAAAGATTCATTCTTTGTTGATTCAATGTTGATTCTAGGCTATCAGCTTCTTCACCGTGAAGCGTGAAAGCACACGCAAGAGCCCACCTGCCGCGATGCTTCTCTAGCATGTGATATTTCCGAGCATTGAACGAAACGGGTTTGTCATGCATGTCAATCCACGTTCCGCACAGCAGTTTCTGACCGCGTTTCGTTTCCAGCAAGGTCTATGCCTGTTTTCATCTTCGATCCAGACTCGACCTTCCATGAAATTACCCGAAGTGATAGCGTGGTTCGCATGCTCTATCATGTTCAGCGTCTCGACAGCGGCATTGACGGATACCGGAAATCAGAAAGCTTGGCAAGGGTGCAGTGGCGATGTCTTTACTTTTGATACAGGCCGATGTCTTTGCTCTTGATAGGAGAGAAAGCTACATGTTCGAAACCGAAAATTCGTTCAACTTCGCTCCAAAGCAGAATCTTTTTTGACTCGAGAGCGCTGTAGTGGCATTATTTTGCGTTTTTGGAAAAGGTTACCACAAGTTCCCTAACTTATTTATTGTGGATCGCGGCGCGGAGCGGGCTGGAGCCTTCTTCCTCCAGGGAGTTTGAACGTTCGGAAACTCCATGTTCCGTCAAACTTCAAAGAGTAGCTCCATCATCAATTGCAACCAGCAAGAGATGAGAGGTCTTGTCGAATTGCCAAGTCCGTAGAGGCAGTGGAGACAGCGTTCTCGTCGTTGCAGCCCCTGTGATTGTACAGCACGGCAATGGAAGTCCATGTTTGAGTCGGAAAGCGTTCTGAGAAAATGGTTGACGGCGATGCACGCCTGTTTGTCGAAGACGCCGCCGTGTCCAAAGAAGCCGAGAGTGCAGAGCAGACGCTGGAACCATTTATCGAGCAGCGAAACAAGTTATGTTCGGATGCTCGGTTCATAACAGCCTCGCGTTCGGTCGTCTTTTTTTGAGACATGCGAGACACGTGTGCACGCAATGACAATCTGGGTCGCCGCTCCACCTTTTCTTGCCAGAACACCGCCCTCGTGCGCTGGCCGCCGGACGGGGTTCAGGTTCTGAGGTTCTCGTCGGACAAGTTCTGG